AGTTACCAAAAGATAAACAAAACAAGCAGTCTGATTCTTCTTGGAGTAAATGAGAGGCTTCTCCCATTGATTTGAAGGGAATTGGATCAAGCCCTACCATTTGTTGTGGCAGGCTGACAGTCAAACATTATTAACACCGAGCTCCTCTTGTCCCTGCCTTGGCAGTCTGTACACATGCACAACAGTACATCTGCAGAATGGTTGTTAGCACATATCATCCTTCACTTTTATTTACTTCTGCACCTCTGCTTTGTGAGCCAGCAGGATTAAATTTTGTAATGCATATCTTGAAACTCTGCTTTTCATATTCTAGGTTGTTTTTTTTTTTAGCTTAAAACCCACTGATTCTGTGTAATCTTGTATTTCCCTATGCCTTTCACAAGGTAGTGAGGATGACAAAGGGAGGATGAGATGAGCCCTGTGCAAGCTGCTTTGTTTCCAACCCTTTTTCATTAAAAGAAAAACCCCCATACCTCTTCTGTTCCAGTCTTTTCACGTGAAGCAATGCAAGAGCATTGGGGTTTGGTTACAGCATGCATCATGAAGTTCCTGTTGGCAGAAGAAAGCCTAAAACTGGCAGGCTGCTCTTTCAGTACCAGTCATCATCTTCTCTGCCCTTGTCAGGCTGTGTTCTCTCCTGCTGTAGGTCTGTCAGCCTTCAGACTCCTTTAATCAGCACATTGGTAGGACTAGTAAAAATGGAGCTGCTTTGATGTCAAATCCTTTTCTTTTCTTGACCCTTCCATCTATGATCCAGGTTGTTCATGCCTGCAGAAAACCTTTATATCTGTGTGTTTTGCTCGGGCCATTTCTTTCCTCAAGCAGGGCACTGAGAGATGTATTTTCTTCCACCATATACCTGCCACCACCTGAGCTGAGGTAATGATGTTTGACTGCTTCTACTTTTTATGGTGTCATTTTCCTTAATTTTTTTTTTTTCTTTTTATTCTACCTGGTTCCATGCCCAGGCCTTACTTCCCTTTTTCATATGCAAGATGTGAACCAGAAGTTGGTGAAAGAAATATGGGCACAGTAATGTGGAGTAAAAGTAACTTTAAACAGCAAACAAAGCAGCAGTAAATTTTCAGTTTTTGCTTTCAAAACGAAGCGTATCTGGTGGTGAAAAATTGAAATGGTTTCATATGCTGCCTTTTAAAAAACACTTGTCCTGCTGTTGGCTTGTTGAGGAGTGGAATTAACCTTGAGAGAGATTCGCTCAAAACGAAAACAGGCTCAGCACAGACTGCCCGAAGCAAGGTGTGCCTTACACACCCTGCACATGCACAGACTTCTTTGACACTTGCTTGTGATGACTGATGGATGCTGACAGCCATCTAGTGGCTGGGATCCTGTATGGTGTCCCCTGCCCCTCTCACCCCCCAGTAATTGGTACAGTTTCAGTGTTGACACCAAAGTGGGCCTGGGTATCTCAGTGCCCGGTACGATTTTGACTTCCAAGCTGTTGATTCGTAGTCTCTGAGTCTGATGATCCAGTGCTTTAGCTATAACTGACTATTTGACCTCTGAGAAATTAGTTTCTTTAAGGTAAAACTGATACTCCAACACAGCAACACACAGCAGGAAAAAAAATGGCATTGTGCTTGCTGTGCATTTCATTGAAATCCTCTTTCTGAAGGTTGGTTGTGCAAGCTCATGGATGAATGAGTCCTCAAATGTATCACTGCGTATTTCTCCTGCCTTGCCTTTTATATTTGCAGACTTCTTTGGAACTCAATTTCTCCAGCTTCGATGGTTTGGCAACCCTGTAAGTTCTTTAGTCAGTCCAATAATAATCAGAATTGTACTTTTTTTCCTGTAAGAAAGGAATTGGTTAAAGGGCTTGCAGATTCTTTTGCCACATTAAGAATTTCTAAAGCTGCTTCTCAATCCATTCAACATATTGTTTTACAACTGCAGGGGTAAAAAGAACATGTGATACATAAAGAGTTTGTAAGTTGGTCTCAGTAATTAAAAAAACTTGCAAATTTCCAAGCCAGAGGGGTAATGGTAGAACGATTTCCTTGGCTGTCTTTTGCTGATCTGGGTGTAACTGGATAACATGTCTGCAGCTCAGGCCTGAGAGTAAAACGTCAAAATGTGCTTTTGAAATGAGCTGGCTTTGAAATAGCTGCTCTTTTCAGGTTACTGCCTCAGTGTAATGCAGTCACAGCAGAAAGGAAAACGAGAAGCACCAAACGTAATCATAGAATACACTGAGTTGGAAAAGGACTCAGGATCATTGAGTCCAATTCCTAAAGCTGGACGATCAAAAGATGTAAAAATCTCTGTAAAGATGTAAAAAGATGAACGTGGAAAGATGTGAAACTGTGTTTTCTGGCAGTATAATGAGGTATGGGGTTTTTGGTGTGGTTTCTTTTTTTTTTGGTGGGTTGATTTGTTTTGTTTGGTTTGGTTGTGGTTTGTTGTGGTTCTTTGTTTGTTTGGGGGTGGTTTTTTTTGGCGGTGGTGTTTTTTTCATCAGTATATCTGCGATCTGATAGGGAAGCAGACGTCTTAGTATGCTTCCAGAAGCTGGCATGTGCTTTTTTCCCCTGCCTTTGTCTGCCTCCTTCCCAGCAGAATCCAGCCACCATCTGGCTCAGCTCTGATTTGCCAGAGCGGTTGCTATGCGGTTTATTTGAAGTTATGACAGAACGCTGACTTTGGGCTCAATAACCGAGAAATTCTCATTTCTGCGAGCTGCCACTCCTTCGAGCGGCACGACGAGTTCTGAGGGTGAGATGTTAAAGGAGACACAGACCACATGCCAGACATCTGGGGGGAAAGGGCTGAGTGTGTCAGACAGCGCGTGATGTCATGCTTGCAAGGGAGAAGCGAGACGAGCGGCTTCCAAAACGCGATCTGCTGCTCGGGAAAACGATTCTCACAGTGTCATAAATGGACTGCACGCAGCAGACTTGGTTGATGTCTTTACTTCACACTGAAAACATTTCCTCCTGAGCTTCTGCAGCGCCTCTTCGAGTCCTTTGGTCGGCTGGTGTGATAATGAGACTGAAGGGGAGCTGGCCTGGTGAAAATTGCAGTTTGAGTTTCTGTTAGAGAGCTGCTGAAAGTTAGTGATGGCAGGCAACAGTTAATGACACATCTGCTCCAATTCTTCTTGACATTGATGGAGTAACTGGGCTTGAGTTGAGGCACGAAAATGAAATTCCAAATCTGCTCATATTTATTGCTCTGCAACTTTCTGTTTGCATCTGGTTTAAATTAGGGCAGAAATGTATAGAGCAGCGAAACTTTTGTTGTGCTTAGAACTGTGAATTTTTACACTAATAGCAGATTTTCTTAAGAAAACAATGGTTGTGGTCTCTGACTAGTGGGATGTGCCCTGTATATATAATTGACCCTGCTCCCAGTCTTATATCAGTTAGAAATTAGGCCTGATGGGGAATTTCCAGTAATGCATTTAACTGGATTGTCCAGCTCCAAAGACACTTCTGATAGGAAGGTTTCTGTGATCAGATGGAGCTTCCTCCCATGTAGGATTAATCTTCTCTGCAGCATCTCAGGGGTCAGATGAATAACTTTGGACTGTGAGTGACAGCTTTGCTGTGTTTGACTCAGGGAATGTCTTGGCACTGGGATTCTTGGCTTGCAAGTTGTTCCACATTGTCTAGGGACAGCCTGGGGACAGTTCATCGGTTTTGTGGATGTCTGTGTTCCTTTAGAGGACAAAATACTCATTGGGACAAAATGAAAAAATCTCTTTTTGCTGCTAAACATCAAATATGCAAGGAAAACTTTCCACTTTACTTGACTTTTGAATTCTTTCTCAGACTTAATTTTAGGAGAAGGTACTGAGATATACTCACCTCATGATTAAAAAAAAATATCCTATGATATTTAGACTGTTTGCCTACAGAGTAGGAAGAAAACAAAGGCACAGGCTTAAATGTGGATAGAACAGTCCCCAAACAGGTGGCTTTTAGTCCCCTGAGATGCTGCCATCAGTCAAATTTTTGAGATTTTTAAGTTGCAAAATCAACCCAGAGAAGTTGTTTCACCTGGGTGACAGAGGAGAAAGAAAAAACTATATTGAATGGAATTCTAATGGATAAGTATGAAATTAATCCTAAATTAGAATTCAAGGAAAAGAAAGAAAATAGTATTAAGACAAGCAAGAAAGTAAACATCCTGTAATGGAATTAAACATTCATGGTTAAACATTCAGGTTAAACTTGACATATGCAACTTCAATAAAATAGAATGAGCTCCACAGAAATGTGTGAATATGTCCATGGATAGCACACATCCATACAGTCAGTCCATGCTGATCCTACATAAAGAGTGACATAGGATAGTCTTTCATATATAGGTAAAATATTTAAGGGGCATTTTGTATGCAGTTAATATAGATACATAGAAATATTTTGTGTGTGCTGGGATAATCATGTAGGTCCAGAGCAGCTGGATTATAAATGCTGAGCAAAATAAGTGATGTGAGGAGCCTCTTGTCACTCAGGCTGGAGATCACTGCAATGGGTGTCCTTGCTGTGGGTGCTACTGGGCCAGTGGACTGTGGCTGAATGTCCTGTTTGGAGGATTAAATAAACCCTGCCTAATAAATGAGGGTTTTTTTTTTTTTGTTTCAACCACTGCCATGTCTGTTCAGCACTGTCCCAGGCACTGACACAGAGCAGGGAATCAGCAGGAGCTCCTGGGGGCAGAGTTAGTACCCCACGGAGCAGAATGATGTCCAAAGACCTGTGAGGCAAGATTCATTTAGTGCTTGTGGGGGGACTGTGCTCTCCCTGGTGACTCTGTTTTACTTCTTTCTGACCAAGAAAGAAGGTGGCAAAATAAGAAAGACTTGTGACTGATATTTAAAACTCTTTAGTATCAGTTCCAGCTATGCTGGTGGCCTGATTTCTCTGGGTATGTGATGCTGCTTCTCATCTCTAGATGTGCTTTTTCCTGGTCCAGTCCTGCTCCTTCGATTTCACGGTTGGAAAACGTGTCTTGTGTTCTCTCCCCTGTCCCAGGAGAAGACGTTGAAGAAATAGCCTGCACTCAGAACGGGCAGATGTACCTGAACAGGGACATTTGGAAGCCCTCCCCGTGCCAAATTTGCGTCTGTGACAACGGAGCAATTCTCTGCGATGAAATCCAGTGCCAGGATCTGCTGGAGTGCGAGAACCCGCAGGTGCCCCCCGGAGAGTGCTGTCCCGTGTGTCCCCACACCGCCCGTGACTTTGACCCCACCATTGGTGAGACTGCTTCCTACTTTGCTTTTTTTTTTTTTTTTTTAAAGAACAGAAAGGCCAAAGAGCTGGGAAACCTCATTATGCTGAAGTTTGTAATAGTATTTCCGTGCTGAAAGTTTAAATGTGACCACAGTAGATACCTGACAGTTATCTTCCACCTTGGGTTGCACCAGAGCTGGTTCTGGAAACAGTTTTCTTTAGAATATGAACCTGATATAAGCCCAAATGGCTTTACAGATGAAAGGTTGATCTGAATTCCATCTTGATATTTCAAGGAGGTTGAATTCTGGCTCCTTTTTGTGGTTCGCCTGAAACTCAAAGATAAATATATTGAGGTAAATATATATAATAAACATATTAAGATAAATATATATTGTATACATAACTATATATAATAAGTGTGTTCTTTGATAAAATGCTCAGTTCAGGGGCCCTCTAATAGATGAACAAATGTAAATAGTGTAAAGTGTTCCTCCAAAGTGAAAACATGGATGCCTTTGTGACACATAAAAGTAAAATGAGTGTGAGGTATTATTGACCCCCTGTTTGCATCCTGTCTGTTATATACCTTAAAGATTATGTCCTTTCCAGTCCATTTGTGCATTCTTCCTGGAGAGACTTGAATAAAGCAACCCCCCCCCTCAATTTTCCTAAAAGAAAATTTCTTACCTTGCAATTAATGCCACATAATACCGTGTATTGAATTCTTAGAAATACATTCTATGCATAATAATTAATTTCCTCAGGAGACATAATTGCTGTTGATTAGCTTAATCTAGAACAAAGCAGTGATATACAAGTCCAAAGTAAGGACTTGTATAATTGAGCAGTGGAGCAAGATGTGGTGAGCATTATTAAATAGGCTGTGCATCCTGCTGTGTTTTGGGAGGCATTAGGCCAACACCAACAGAGTACACCCAGCAAATATAAAAGCAACCTGGATGCATTCCCAAATTCCTTACAGTTATTTGAGGTATTGATAAAATATTCCTCTGAAGGATTTTTGTGGTCATGAGTGTGGCTGCATGGCTCTGAAGGCAGGCACACGTGATACTGCAGGTGCTTTTTGAACAAGAAAAGGTCAAAAATCCCTCTGTTAGCTCTGCCTTTCGAAAAATACCATGTAATATGTTGTGGATCCATCACCACTGCTTGTACTGGAGTCAGTAATGAAGCTTCCTTTGACTTCACTCTCAGTCATCAGGCAGCACCTGACAATCCCCCACGAGATAATCTGCTTTCCCAATGTGTTTCGTGTTATTCTGTGCAATGAAGAAAAAAGCTGAGAATCAGGGGGCATCACTGCAAGCTGTTCTGGTTCCTCACACCTGAACAAGGGAGTTTGTGCGTCCCTGGGAACTTCCCCAGCTCCCTGCAGGCAACACAGCATCCTCTGTGCACCCAGGATCAGGGATGGCTCTGGCTGCAACACCACCCAACTCTCACTGTGTTCTGTCTCTCAGAGTAAAAGCATTAATTTCCTCTTTTTTTCTTTTCTCCTCTTTCATAGGTAGAGGAAGAAAGGTAAGATTTCCTTCACTTTTTTTTTTTAAACATGTTACAACTGTTGAAAACCTGTCTTGCATCTCCTTGGAGCACATCATGAAAGATAACATATATAAGCTCTGTTTAAACCACTTAATTCTTTCTCTTGGTCTTCCTCAGTGGCTGGGGAGATTGCAGTCCACATGGAAAAAAAAATGTTGGGGATGCAAGCAAAAATCCTGATCTTAATATAGAGAATCCCCTGGCTGAAAATCCCTGCTGTCTACATCAAAGGAATTCCAGTTTGAGTGGTTTGGTGCTTTCACTTCTAGCAGTGCCACAGACTGAGGGAAGGGACCACGGGGTCATTAAATGCTGAACTCTCACAGCCTGCAGCTGGTTTTTGTGCCAAGGCTGAGCTGCCCAGAGGGCAGGAGGATGATGTTTTCCTGCCCAGAGCCACGGTTCTGTGGGCAGCATCTCTCATCACGTGCAATTAAACAAAGAGAGGATCTGTTCTTACAAAAGAAATTAAAATGCATTCTGATAAATGAGCTTCTAAGGTAGCAAGCAACTACAGTAAACAATTGAAATAATTTTCAGTTGGTCAAGTATCTCCACTCACTAAAACTGAGTGCTCTCTACGGAGAGGTGGTTTATAAATGGATTTATTTATTAAAAATAATTTATAAATTTAAGATAAATTTAAATTTATTTATAAGTAAACTGTGACCACCTTATTGTTGCTTGATAAACAAGGCAGGAAATTTTTTATCTTGAAAAAAGCAGTTACCACCAATAGGTCTAAAGCCAGGGATTTGGTGTAACATGTAATCATTGTCAACACACTCACAGAAAAGTCAGTTGGCAAATGCCATTGTCCTTCACTCTGAAGCTGTGCAATATCATTCTGTCCCTAGGCTGCAGATGGACTTTTATGTCCATAGATTTCACGATGCGAATTTCAATTTAATATTTTGAGGAAATGGAACCTCAGTGCTGCTCTGGGCTCTGCATTTCGTATGAGTCAAATCACCCAACAACAGAACTCCTGCATATTTGTTAGCACTTTGTCGCACTTCTAGCACAAAAGTTTCATGGTATTTTTTTAGTTTGATCATTCCATCAGATAGTATGTTATGCAGCTAGAGACAGTTCTAATTTAAACCCTTCATTTAATTGGTGGCCGTATTCACTAAAATACTATGGATTATTTGTCACAGGTACTTTAAATTTAGTCTAGTTGAATCCTTAGAGAAGCCTTAGTTTTTGTGGCAGTCACAGGGATAAAGACACATTGGTAAACTAATGTACTGTTAATTGTACTCTCACTTCTGTTCTGCCCTCTGATGTTTTTGTATCTTCTTCCTACAGGGACAAAAAGGAGAACCTGGAATAGTGCCACCTGTAAGTCTATTTTATTTTTTTCTCCATTTATCAGCAACCCCTGGAAGTGCACATTTGGGTGCTTTAAAGCAGAATTGCAGTAATGAAGTAAATACAACAGGAATGTACATCCTAGGAGTGAAAGGAATAGGAATTAAGTACACTGTGTCACACATGCAACATTAGAAATTCCAGCCAATTGCATTTTGGGAAACGTTCTTATTGAGTTAAAGCTCCTATAATCTTTATTTTTATGGTTAGATTTCTGTGGATGTACAATGGTAAATCAGTATCTAGAAAGTGGTGAAATAAAATGTCACTATCTCTGTTTATCCCTTTCTAGTGTGAAGAAAAACAGTTTTAACAAATTGATAGGTTGAGCCTAAATAATTTTAATTCACTTATTTGCTTATTTACAATAGCAGTGATACTTCCAGGATTTTGTTCATACTGCTTATAAAAAGATTAAACTGGAAGGCGATAACCAGCTGAATATTTTCTTTTTCCTTTTTTTTTTTTTTTCATCTCCACAAAAAGCCTTATAGTTTGCCAGATACTTTGATTTCCCTCTCTTGTTATTTGCTTTTCAGTAGCTAACTTTCTGTAGGGCAGTCTTGACAAATACAGCCACAATGTTTGTGTGGTGACTTCAATTTACGTTGCCTCTTTTAGGTCTCGGGGATACGAGGCCGCCCGGGACCAGCTGTGAGTATTTTTTTGCTCCTCTCTTTCTCTGATGGTGGCATTTACCACTTTTTTTTTTTTTTCCATTTCTGTTTTGTATTGTGGGGGAAAAAAGGGATGATGTGAAGGGGGACTCTTCCATGCCTCTAGTGGGTATGGGCTTCAAAGCCATCAGGTCTGAGGTTATGGGATGGTTGTCACAGTAAAATTGAGAAGAAATATTGAATACCTGGTGATTAGAGCTGTTTTCTTTATGATGATGTGGAAAAAACCCTCACAAATAATTTTTAAAATGAGCATGGCATTTTGTGTTTTCAGAGCTTTATTAATCATTAGCTAGTTTAAAAGGTGCTTAATATTTCTGGTCTTTCTTTTAGGGACCTCCAGGCTCACAAGGTCCACGAGGAGAACGAGGACCAAAGGGAAGACCTGTAAGTTATTAAATATCTCAGAAATAAAGTACTTGAACTAACCTCAAAAGATCAGATGTCTTTAAGCTATCTCTGTGTCTTCTAGAGCTACCAAAACTGTCCTCCTGTTTTCCAGGAATCAGGTAACAAGCAGGAAAACGCTTCTGTTTCACCATTCCTTGGTTAGATTGAAACACGAATGCTTTGAGAGAACTGACAGAGGTTTAGCAGTGTTTCCACTAAAAGCTGTGCCTTCTCAACAGACATTCCCAGACAAAACTGGAACATCACGTTCCCCTGGTTCTGAACTTGTTGACTATTTGCTGCTGACTCCTCTGCAGCAGAAGCAGTGTGAGTTGTGTGGCCCAGAGCATTTCAGAAAAGACAAAGCTCAGGAAGTTAGCAGGAGTTAATACAGTGACTACATTTGTTGGTATGCTGGTGAATAATATAGTCAGGATTGCTCCGTGGAAACAGAGACTTCACAAGGGAATTTCAGTGTCTGCATGTGGAGAACCGCAGAAAGGCCAAAGAGAAGGGCTGAAAATACCCAAGATGACATGTTCCTTTTGAAAAAGCTGGGTCAAAGAGCAGAAGCTGCTAAAAGCAGATCTTGGAGTTGTATCATTGCAATTTCAATGTGGATATTTTCCTATCCCTCAGGAGAGAGCAAGCCAATACTGGGGTTAGGCATAAGCCTAAAACAGGCACTTGAGCTGTTCTTCCAGTGTGTGCCTGTTGTCTGTAGATGGAAATGACATTTCTAAAGCAGGGAGTGAGTGTGCAGCCTCTTTGAGACGACTGCCAAGCCACTGCTGCTCTTTAGATCACCACAAGACACTTGTCTGAAGAATGAGTGTCAAGATGCTTAAAAGAAATCTGGGAGTAATTGTGAAATCTTTCTGTGTGCAGAGGAACCTGGACTGTGTTTTCTGAATCAGGCTGTGTCTGAAGTGCTTTCCTAATGTGCAGTATTGTCTCTGATATTCGAAATAATTTCTGAATCCCTGCCAAGCATCCCTTGCATGTCTCTATACAGTGGTGGCTGCGAGCACCTAAAATACCCAGAGGTTGTAAACTCCTTCGAGTTCCTTTCACATTCTTCTGCTTTCAAGGAATATCAAGAGATTGAGAAGCAGTCAGCTACTTTGAAAATGTTACATCAAAGGTTCCAGTGAGCTGTGTGTGTGTCAGGTCTGAGACCAAAGAGCACTGCTGTTAGCTACAGTGATACAGGGGGTTTATTTTTACTCGTGGAAAAGAAATGTTAGCTCACACCTGCAGTTTATATTATGAAAACCCCTCATGGAGCAGGCAACCCTGTACAGTACAGACTGCCTTTACAAAATCAGTCTGGGTAAATGCGTCACTGACTGGGGGCGTTACAAAAACACTACACGTTTTCAGGCTGTTTGCTTCTGTCTTCAGATTATTATTGATTATTTTTTTATTATTATTATTCTTTAAATGGGCTCCTGCTGAGCAGTGAGCAGAAGAAACTCACCCTTGCTGTGGATCTCTGTCTTTTACAAAAGCAGGACCCTGGGATGCAAAATGAACACAGGAGTACAAGCGTATTTTTTACATTAAATGCTTTGCTAGTGCAAACAGTGAGAGTCATTTAGGGAATGGCACATCTGCATTTGCAAAATGCATCCAGGGAGGGCGGGTTTTGGAGCATGATAACATTTTAGGTGTTTACAAATGATCTTGTGAAGACAGCAAACAAACTTTGGGCATCCTCAGAACCATTCCTATGTTTTTCTTTCTGTATGGATTTACACACCACTGTAATTGCAGTAACAGTTTAAATAGACAGAAGTTTGAGGGTGTTCTACCACGAGATGCATTTTCCTTTCATTCTGTTAAGAGCAATCCCATTAATAGTTTACATGACCAGCAGCAACCGTGGGCCAGAATGGGGAAATTGAGTGTTTAAACGGTGCCACCTCGTGGCTTTTGTGAGAATGTTTGCTGGTTTTTTTTTCCTAAACCTTGAGCTGGTGAAAGAAAATGAAAGGGGTTTTTTTATGTACATATAATAATGCACAATATAAAATATAGAAATGCACAAATGTATAGATGCACAATACAAAATAAATAAAATGGTAGTCAAGATTTTATTAAAAACCCACTCATTGTTTATATACCACTAGTTAGTTGCCACCTACAAATACAAATGTACACTTATCTTAAAGCAGGTTGATTTTTGATGAATAAAGGGTAGGTCCTTTTTAGAAAAGAAATGAAGAAAGGACCATTTTCTGGATTAGATATTGTTAAGATCTCTTGTTTAAATATAGAAAATCATTAGTCATACAGAAGGGTGCTAAATTCTTTTTAGGCAACTAGTTTTCTTTTCTTTTTTTTTTTTCTGTAATGCTTAACTTTCTTTACTTTTTATTTTGAGAATAAATTCCTCCTTTGAACAGTAAGCACTTTTAGGTTTGGCAGTCTGCACTTGTGTTTAAAACAGAGATACTAAATAATAAAGTTTTCCACTAGAACCTTCCACTTCCATCCGTCATGCACAAACCTTCTCATTTGTTTAGGAATTCCACCTATTCACAACTCATTCTGCAAACCAGACTAGTAGAAACCATACTAGTTCAGACATAAATTCCACTGAAATGTGTTGCAGACACAGTCCTCATCTCATGGAAATACAAGCAGTCTGTCTGATTATTAACTGTGTCTCTAAAGATGACTCACTGAGCCAGGCTTCTAAAGTTTTACGTTTGAGGATCCTTAAAATAGAAGGGCTCATTACATAGTATGAAACTTCTCCTCCCTGTGGTCAAGCATTTTATTCTAATGAAAGAATCAGTAGTGACAAGCCCTTTAACATCTTTATTTATGGTTGAAGTGTGTCTTTATTGGCCCTGTTAGCACTGATTTTGTTCCACTAATGTTTTATTAGCTGCTTCTGTATTTAATTTTAGTTCTTACACGAATTAAGATGAATGCAGTTCAGGAATCAAGAGTGGGTGATCAAAATCAGAACCACAGGATGGGCTCCTGGCCTACTCTGCAAATACTAGCTAAAGATGACTTTGACACCAGACAACTTACTCTGCATTTCTGGCATTTGTAACTGTGTTGAGAATTCATCAATGGTATGAGCTGTCTAAGCCATTCATGATGTCAGGAGGCTGTAAAAATCCAGCATTAGGCTGGAGTCTCCTAAGCATGTGTGTGTGCATGTGCTCTGATCTGAGCTGTATGTATTTTAGAAGTAAATTCACTTTATTCTGCATTGTGTGCCAAGCCAAATAGTTTTTCAGGAACAGTATGCTCTGGTATGGATTGATAGGAGGTTGGAGTTTCTAAGAGAGCTTGTGACAGAAATTACTGCAATTTACTTATATTTTGAATTAATAATTAATTTTAGTCAATGCTTCTGATCTGAAGGTAGGAACAGGTGTTGAGGGATGTTGTTTGCTTGAATATCTTCAGAAACCCAGGCTTGTCACTAAGAGGCAGTTGTTTGCCAGTTCCTATGGTTTCAATGAACACCTTTGCACACTTGGCATTTCTGATTTTCTTTCTAGGGTCCTCGTGGTCCTCAAGGGATTGATGGTGAACCTGGTATCCCTGGCCAGCCTGGTGATCCTGGTCCTCCAGGGCATCCCACTCACCCAGGACCAGATGGAATCAGCAGGGTAAGTTTTACACTTGCTTTAGGAGAAGGTGAAGTGAGTGTTGGATCATATCCACAGGATACAATTAGGAATTGTATCCTTCCTTTTGATTCAGTCAGCATGGAACGCTGTGCCTACAGTTCCCATCTTCCAGTCATGAGGGACAACAGCAAACAATTCTGCCAAAATCTGGGACAAGCTGAACGTGAGAAACCTCGGCAAGGACACACCTTTCAAAGTGGGTTTCAGGATCCAGAAAAGCCAAGCTGCCCAAATCTAAACCTATCACTGGGGTTCTGTTACTTCCAGCTGATTCAAAGCCAAGGGATCTGAGAAATGTTACAGGCAAAAATAGTGCACCAAATTAGGAATATAGAAAAGAGAAAAGTAAGATGAATTAAAAATAACAAAATGACTAGAGAGAGAAATGAAAACGCGATTGATTTTGCTTCTTGTTGGAAGTATTCAGACCAACACTGAGAAGATTTATGTAAGAATTTTGTTTGTAAAAAACAAGGTTAACCAGCCATATACATTGGCAAAGTGTTCTGCAGGACTTCTTTTTCTCCCCCCTCCTTCTATTGGACACCACTTATGACTGATAATTAAATAGGTATTAGAAATTCTCAAGTCTATTCGGTTCCACATTTATTGCTCTTTGAAAGATACCTGTTTTGATTTCTCACTCCTTTGGTCCAGCAATGTTTCTGAAAAAAAAATAGAGTTACACTGACAAAAATCTGAAACAGTCATGTTGGGCTAATGGCTTACAACTTTGGGCAGCTTTTCATGACTTAACCACATTTCCAAATAGTCCTCAATCCAGGAGATGCAGCCCAAGTAAATATCTTCAGCAGACAGGAATCTCTTAGAATCACAGAAGCAGCATAATGAGTGTTAGGCTGTTGCCCAACAGAAAATATGGAAGAATAGGTGTGGCCAGAGATCTAATCCATTTTTTGTTTGTATTCCTGTCTCTGAAGTTAGGCAATTTCCAGCCTTATGGAAAATGTGTTTGGAGACCAATCTGACGAGGAACAAACAGTAAATCTTAGAAGACTTGCATTTGGGGGTTGTTCCTTGTTCTCAGCCACTGTAAGCTCTGGCCTGCCATGAGTGAAGCAAAACAAAACTTGATTTCAACGATGTGCTTGCAGAAGGAGGAGGGCACTGCAGTAACTCCCTGCTCTCACTCACTGGTCTCTGTGAATTGGCAGGAACAACAGAGGCTTTCAGCTTTGCTGGATGAGGGCAACATGCTTAAAAATTCCAATTTGCAATCATAAAATCACTTACATTTCCTTTTACCTGAAGATATTTCTGAACTTTGAAGCACAGCAAGCGAAAACAGAAGGAAGGTTTAGAAGACATGAAGGAATATTTCAGGTCAAGTCAAGGTGTGATTTAGATTTGCAGGTCATGAAAAAAGTTGCTTAATTTCATGGGAGGCTTTCCTCTTTTAAGGTAACTTTCCCATTTATTTAATGTTAAAGTGGAAAGAGAGTCAGAATGGTAAGCAGACAATATGATTGGTTCACCTGGTGAAGCTTTAAACACCTCAGATTTACAGGAGAGACGAATTCCCTTTTAATGATTAAACCAAGAATTTAGTTGTTAGCACTGCAAAGCCAAGGTAAATAATAACAATGTGCTTACATGGATTTTTGCCTTGAGAACCACGACAACGACTTCCAGCTAAAATCACCCATCTTATTTTTTTTTTCAGCCATTTGCAGCTCAGATGGCAGGACTGGATGAGAAATCTGGACTTGGGAGCCAGATGGGACTGATGCCTGGAGCAGTGGTAAGACCAGATTAGCCCTGTATGGTAAAACAGGGTGCAAGTGGGGTGCACCTGCAAAAGCTCCAAGGGGTTCCTGCACCTCTAGAACCTGGATATACACTATATTCTAGTGCAGTTTTGCTCAGTACCTGGAAAAAAAGGAGTGAAAAAACATTATTCTGCTAAATGAAAAAAAAACCACAAAAAACAACAGCTCCTGAGTTTGTGTTTCTTATATCTTGAGTCACCGCAGATTAACTGAAAATTGTCAGGTGTAACACAAAGAGGAATAAACAAATATGTGACTTTGAAGTCTTCTTTTCACGTTGTGACATCAAAAAAGTTATTTTTGGTAGTAATTGAAAAACAAATTTCTCAAACCAGCTCTTAACTGAAATCTCTATTATTTCAAGACAGAAATAATTTCTGTTTCTCCGTGGATTCAGTTTTATCACTGGCATCCCTCACTTTTCAGATATGTCCTTTGCTTTTTGTGCTCTGGGGACTCAGTGGTAACACTTAATGTTTTTGCCATCAGTGAATGCTGTTTCACCACCCCAAACTTTCTCTGTTAGAAGCCTTGGGGCTGCTTTTGAATATTCTCTCTCTTCATGTTTGATATCTTGAAAATACTGTTACCCTCTTTGACAATATCTTAATATTTATTGTTAGGGAAACCATCCTTTAGTGACTGTGCTGTCAATTAGTTTGCCTACCTGAATCTTATCCATCCTAGTCCCCACTACTAACCTTCAAAATCAGTTTCAATACCATATGAAAGGTTCTAAAGATAATCTTGTGTTTTGCCTTAGGATTAAATTTTCCATTCTGTGAATGTCTCTCCCCAGTGAATTTGCTTTGTGCACATACAATGGTTTGTTCCACAAGTCTGCCCTACTTTGCTGCCCTTCATTGTTTTGCTTAATCCTTTCACTCAGTTTGTCTCAAGGTGTTGCATCTTTTGTACTGGCTCTTCTTTTGTCATTCTCAAACATTATTAATTTTAATATTGTCCATGTCTCTATAAGGCCTTACACAAAGCCTAATTAAGTAATTTGACACTCACTGTCTTTGGATTGATTCATCATGTTGTGTGACACTCTTTTCTCCTTTCCTTGTAAACTAACTGACAGCTGAAACATTGTTTTGTTTCTAACGTTGGTTAGATTTTTAAAATGGCCTATTACTAACTCTTCTACATTTGCTTTGTAAAAATTGATAAAAATTAATGAACATTAAAAGATAAATCTTCAGCCTCTGTCAAAAGGCAAATTGTCTTACACAGATATTTTTGTATTCCTAGAAACGAGGGAATTATTTTCAAACAAGATAATGTTTATTTCATGTTACAAGTTACAATTAAGCATGAGATTTTTTTCCTAACAATCCCATAAAACCTTCTAAGGGAAAATCTGAACTTTCTGTAACAAAAAACCCACAACCATTTGGAAGCTGTTTTGGTGGTTTGTATGATACATTTAAACACGTCCTTCCATTGCTGCTTCTCAGCTCACGGCTGAGAACAACAGGATTAATTTATTTTTCTCATTGATTCCATTATGAGATTCATCTGAGTAATGAGATCCCCTTCGAGGGAAGACTATTCCCCCCAACTCTTATTTTGTTGCTGTGTTTTTTTTTTCAGTGGAGACAACACAGTTGTTCTGGCTGATTCCAGAGAAACTGTGAGGTTTCAAAGAGCAATCAAACCCATATTTTCAGCTGTTAATGAAATTACACTCCTGTGACTTTTTGCGTTTGAAGATTTCATTTTAATTCATCAGATTTCATTCTATGTGCATTTGGTAACCCCAGTTTTCTCAGTAAAAGCCTTCCCGAGGGTTTGACCACAGAAATGCCAGCTTGGAGGTCACTATCAGGGCTTTTTTTCTGTCTTTGCTGGGTGAATGTTGTTTGGGAAAGGGTGTTTTCCAGTGTATAACGAGTTCTGTGTTCGACAGGGTCCAGTGGGTCCAAGGGGTCCTCAGGGTCTCCAAGGAAAACAAGTAAGTGCTTCACCTCAGGGGGTGGGAGATAACTGGCCAGAGATGAAGGCAAAGCTGGTAGTAATGGGTGTGTGTTCCTCTCTGGGGCAATGCCTGTCTTCAGTGGCACGTGGCTGAATGCACCTTCATCTGGAAGTGGATTTAAACAAGCTGCTCTCAAGTTCTCTGCTCCAGATGTACTCTAAAACACGGGAATTAGCTCAAAAAGGATGGCTTATTAGACCTTTAACAAGGTTTTAATCCAGCACATATTTTTTAATGAGGGAACAGTGATGAAATGGGTGACTGTTCTTCACTGGTTTTAGTACCCAACTTTCACTCATTTTGAAATGTGAACTGGTTCTGAATTAGAATCCAGTCTGTCCCGTGGGCTGGGATTTTCCTGGTCATGGATTTTAATTTATATCCTTATAATTCCTTTTGGACTTTGTAACTGTATTAATCTTTGGTTAATTTTAGGGTGGTGCTGGCCCCACAGGCCCACCTGGTGAACCTGGGGATCCAGGACCTATGGTAAGACCAATAAATTAAAACATTTCCGCAAGAAAATTGCCAATATTTTATACTTTTTTGTTTCAGAACAGGATTTATCTTATGTTGTTTCAGCTATTAAGTAACTTCAGAAGAGTTGTGTTGTTCAAAGCCAGGACCAGTGATGTTATAAATGATCATTCTTACTTTTCCAGCAGAGACCTGAGGATGGTCAAGCACTGGTAAAACCATACCTGGTAGTGCAACTTACACAAAGGGTGATGAGAATGTTTATTTTTTGAGGGAACAAAGGGATTCCAAATAGGCAAGAGCCAGAGATTTCATGCAACAGCAACTGTTTTTTTCTCTTAAAGGAATTTTTTTTCCTCTTAAAGAGTCTATCCTATATTTTCATATAATATAATGCATGTTTTTTAGGGCAGGATGTTTAGAAAGAGTGCCACAAAATGAAGCATTTCTATGCTTAGGCATAAAATTTTTCCTTTGTCCATATGTTTTTGTAAAAACAGACTTTGAAATGGAGCAAAAAGGAAATTTATTGATGGCTAAATTGACTGGCTCAAGAAATATATTTGTTTCTTAGGGACCAATAGGTTCTCGAGGACCAGAGGGACCTCCAGGCAAACCTGGTGAAGATGTAAGTTGGTTACTCTTTGTATCTTGTTTAATGTTTAAGAAAACAAACATTGGCATCTGTGAGACAGTGACTAACCAGCAGATGTGCCTGCTGTAACTTCTATTATCTCTTTGCTTTTCTTTGCAATCAGGCTCCTCATTAAGTGCAGTGTCACAACTGGGAATCTTGGCAACCACCCTCATACCTAAGGCCCAAGCACCAGCTCTTTGTTATTTCTTGCCTCAGTCAGTTCTTAACTGTGATGTCTTTCTTGAAATCAAAGGTGATGATGTATCAGGAGGGAGCAATTCTCTTCTCTTTTGGGATCACGTGAGGAGTTAGAAGGGCTGTGATGGTAGTGTGTGGACAATGAGATTTTAGTATTTAAATTCTTAAAACTTTTGGTAATTTATTATATTCCTAACAGAGTTTATTACTCTATCCATGCATGTACACATATATGTAAAATGTATGTTTTATACATGTTACATATACATATATGTCCTGCACAACAGCAGCCTAAGAACTCACCAGTAGGTGTATATTATGTGTTTGCAAAGCGCACTAAATCTGTCTGAACTTTAATTTATAGCTTGGAAATTAGTTAAAAACTGCAGATGCTAGATATTTTAGTCTAAAAATTACCATAGCTTGGGTACCAACTACTTTCCCATTTAATTGTATGTTATAACCTGCCCCAGAAAGGGGGAGGATAACCCAGGTTCTTATTAGTAAATCCCTTGGGGTAGATTAGAGCAAAATGACACTGAATAATCGGTGTTTGAAAACATAATGTGTGTAGGGTTTATTTTAGAACAGTTTAGTTTCAAAGGTAAACAGGTATGTTGCCATTTTGGGTGTTATCATCTGATTTATCATCTATAGCAACGTGGCATCGAGATAACCTTCAGGGAGAATGCACAAGGGAGAGAAAGGAAAAGACAGGATAAGGGTAAGGGAGAGTGAGTGAAAGAAAAGATGAGAGTGGGAAGATGTAAATAGCCACTGCCCATGGGGTCCAGAGATGGGACTTGGTCGTGTCATTGCATTTGTGAGGCCCTTTGCCTTCTCTCTGTCCAGAAGCTGTTTTCCTGAAGCCTTTCATATTCCTGCAGGCCGGTGTCCTGGATGTATTTGAACTGATTGATGCATCTAAAGGAATGATTGGTTGTCACTGGAGGACTTTGAATAATCTTCCAAATATGCTCGTTTGGTTCTACCATATTTTCTTTCCCACTGCAGTACACAGAAAATGGTCACCGTCCTAGAACGAAATTACAAACATCTTTAAACATTTGAACTGAGGGAGAGGAACAAGCTGCAATGCAGATAGTTTTAGGTTGCTTTTACAGTGGGAAATGAAAGCAATGGGATGCTGGGTGAGGATTCCCAGGAAAACTACGTGGCAGCGCCATCTTGTGATGCTGGGATGCACTGTGGGATGCTCAGTCTTCAGTTCCCCCATTTCTGGGTTAAAAACCTTTCTAAGGTTAATGTGTCTAATACACAATTGCTGGACATGTGGATGGTTGATTCAAAAAGAAGATCTATAATATCGATTTGGATGTCTTCATTTATTTGAATGGAAGAATGTTAATTTTCCTATTTTAATGTGTTTCTTTTTTTTTTTTTTCCTCCTTAGGGTGAACCTGGTAGACCAGGACAAACTGGTGAGCCTGGATTTCCAGGATCTCCAGTAAGAGAGTGACTATTTACATTTTAGAAAAAATAATTGTATTTAGAAAAATAATCGCGTGCCATCGTATGATATAGATTACTTATCACATCACACTGATGATTTATCAGTGCAAAGCTCTGCCATTCATCCTTGTGTTAGCTCACTCTTAGGCTCCAGTCAGTGTTTGCTGAACTGTTGTTATCTGAGAGTGTGAAGGTGTTACTGTAATTTTTGTAATAAATTCATGTGACCAATATTCTAACACAAGGCACCTAACTCCCCTCCATTAGCCTTCCCTGGAGAAACTGGGTAGGAAACTAAGTCCAAGATAACTTTGGTTTAATTGCTAAATGTGTTTTGATAATGGTTGTTTATCATGCTGACATGTTCTGAAAGAACATATACAGTTTGCAGTTCTGAGTTTCTATTTATTTTAAATAAGAGCTCTGAGTTCTGATCTCTTTTTAATTAATGTTTCTCCATATTAAGACTCAAACCTTCATTTTCCACTCATTTTATTTCGTTGCTTCTGTTAAAATTCGAGGGTTGAGATAAATGATAAAGCTTTTGATACTAGTGAAAATGTGCATAATGCTCAGACTATCCAACTTCAAGGCTGTGTCATCTGTGACCTGCTCAAATTCCCTGCCTCACTCTACTGTGTCACCAAGGCAGAGGGATGTTAGGAGTATTTGTGTGACAGCCACCCTCATCCCTGTTAGCAGCATTATTGATGGGCTAACATGCAGAAATCAGGATTTTTATTGGTTTGTTTGTTTGTTTGCTTTTCCCGCTTAGGGGCCTCGAGGCTTTCCTGGTGCTCCTGGTCTCCCAGGTCTCAAGGGTCACCGGGTAAGAGACTGGTTTTCCTGCTGCTTACAGATGATATTTCACTAGAAAGATACTAAAGATGAGGTTTTTTGTATCTGTGTGGACTTTGACTACCCTGCAGGCGAGCCAGCTGTGGCAGAATTACTGGCATTTGAGAGGAAGAGGGGATTGCAGAAAACACAGCACTACTGCCCTTTAAGCTGACCTCTCTGTTCCAGTCTCTAGTGCTTTCTTCACTCTCTTTTCAAATGTTCTGGGAATCTGGAAGGAGCCTGCACGAGCCCTGCCAAGCTTCAGGAGGCACAAACCTGACAGTTCTCTCTCTTTGTTGGCAAGCCTTGCCTTAGGGTGGGGAACTGGAGAGGTGGATATGTTTGCAGCATGGAGGGATTACAAATTACCAAGCTTTCTGGCCAGAATTTTGCTTTGGGGAGGAATAAGTAGGTTTCCTATGGCTCAGAGCCTCCTCCTTGTTGTTTTAAGATTTTTTTTGAAAAAAGTTTCTTGTTTTAAAAAGGAAACCGAATCCAAGGAAATGTGCCTTGTACAACTGGTTTCCATTTAGGAAATGTTTAAAAACTTTATTCCATCTGGTTTTTTCTTTATTTTTTTTTCCTTTCTTACTCTTCCCACCTCAGATCCATTCTTAACACTTTAGTATCGAGTTACTTTAACAATAATAGTAGTAATGCTCTCTGTGTGTACATATATGAATGCAGTTTCTCCCTATTTTTATAATTTACAGGGATTAAAAGGACTTGACGGTCCCAAAGGTGAAATTGGAGCAGCTGGAGCAAAGGTATTTCCATGGCCCAAAAAAACTAAAGGGTTAAGCCTGTTTTATATAACCCTGAAAGAGGGTAGATATTTTGAACACAGCTTTGTGTGGGAGAGACTGAGTGGAGTTACCCATATTTACTGTGTGTTTGATACATAAAAACTGCTCTACAATGGGCTTTATACTGAGAGTTCCAGTTTCAGCTGGGGCTCAGTTTTAGGCCTGTGAGGTGTCCCTGGGTGAATTGGCTGTGGTCCATCTGTGACATGTATGTAACACTGAAGACAGCAAAGTGTCTTGACAAAGAGCCCATGCACATCTTGCAACTTCGCAGTTGGGCAGTTCGTGTTTCTTGTTGGCTTTGTGACCAAGCTGAGTGGGAAAGCACAGTTTTCTAACATTTTTTAATGCAATAAAATAGAGCAAGGCATAATTTAAAACCTTGCTCTTCTCTTTTGAGTTTCTGGACTAGAGACTGACTTAAATGAAGCAGGCATTGGAGTGGAGAGAGAGGATATGTTTCATCCAGCTGATGATTTTTCACCTAACAAGTTTTTTCCATTACAATTTTTGAGCCCCACTGGCACTGTAGCACCCTTTCAACCTCAGCTTAAAGCAGTGGTAACACAGGATTGCCAACTGGAGTCAGTCCTTTCAAGATTAAAGGTTAAAAGTTGTATTAAAAGAGCATAAAACACTTTTTTTTCAAGCTTTTCCACATTCATTAGTGCTGATGGTGAAACATTTTTTGGCCTGGTGTAGCTGATAATTGAATGTGGGTCAGAACTATTCCTTTAGATTAAAAACACAGTAAATGAAGTGAACCTTCCAAAATCTAAACTTCAATGTGTAATTAGTAGTTAAGGAGAGTTTGTGTAAGAAAAAATTTCTTTCCTGACGCTGCCCACAAACCTTTGGTGGAGGCAACAACAGCAGAAGACTTGGTAGGTGGTGTGGGCAGGTAGCTGGAACATGTAGGAGTTAAATCTGCTTCATTATTTCACTGAGAACATCTAAATATGGCACTTCCCATCACTGTTTTCCACGGGGAAACAGCGCTCTTGCCACGTGTGATGCACACAGGTGACTGTGCAACTCTGCCTCTGAGCTCCAACACAAGCACTGAGGTCAGGGAGGAGATGTAACTCCATTTGGCTTTCACCCATTTCTCTAATTGTGTGATTTCATTTCCATTTCCAGGGAGAGTCTGGACCAACTGGTGCCATGGGACCAACGGGTCCTCTAGTGAGTGTCGTGTGCACTGGGTGTTACAGAAGTGATTGTAAATACTGTTGGGAATTTCTAGGTTTTGATCTCTGTGTATTTGAGGTCATGGGGCTGAACTTTCTCTTAATTAAGGCTTCATTTTCTATTGCACTAACAGTAAGCTTTGTCCACTGTAAACTGTTACTCTTCTCTGTTCCAAGACACAGGGTAATAATGGTAAATCAGAAGGCTCAACAGAAACATGAATGCAGGTGTGGTGGTTGTTTGCCTACTCATGCAAGTGTAGGGTGACTAGTTTTTTCTTTTATGATTGTTTTGGAAAACTGAATAGGTCGTAAGAAGTGTAACATGCCAAAAACTGACTCTCAGTAGTGCTTCTGAGAGTAAAAGCACGTTTCTGATATTAGATAATGGCATCTCTCCGGGATGCACTGTCTTTTGTCGTGGAGAATGTAATATCCCTGAAGTGGGATCCAATTTGTGAATGAGAAGCAGTGAATGAAATTGCTTTATTGTCACTGGTGACTGTATACAGAGCTTATTCTGATGTGTTTAGAACTGGAAATACTGTGGGAACAGAAGAAATAAAGTTACTCTTTAATAAATTTCCACTGGTCAAGCCTGTGAGGCTTTAAGGACTTATGTGAGCTCCTACTTCTTTCCTGCTATAGGACAAGACAAGCTATACCTGTAGGAGTTAAAAAAAAACAAACAAAAAACTTGGTTCTATAACCGTTGTTTCCATCATATGTCCTTATCACCCTTGTAGTCTCAGTGAAACTAATCATGTCCATGTTAAAAGTAAATAAAGAAGGTTGAGCAGAAAACCACTGGAGAGTGATGCAGTGCAAAACTGACTTGAAGCAAAGGAAAAAGTCAAGTATGATTAAAAAAATCCCCCAAAAAACAAAGGAATAAAATCCAAAAGAGGTGGTGGCAAGTGTTCTCTTCATTAGGGGGGCGGGAAAATCAAGTGAACTGTGCTTTGCTCTTTTTATTATTCTGCCATGGTGACTTTCCTAAATAATGCACTTCTTGTTCTCTCTTCAAGGGGCCTCGAGGAATGCCAGGGGAAAGAGGTCGAATTGGACCACAGGGTGCCCCTGTGAGTAGGATCTTCCCTCTCTATCCCTGTAATTCTTCCCTTATTTTAATTAAATCCCTGCCCCTGAGAGTGTTTATTCATGTGACTTGCCAGCCACTTGTATGGTGAGTTCTACTCTAGCCTAAGAATGTTAGGGCTGAGTGGGTTTGTGGGGTGAGACCTTTACTATAAATTTTATAAGCTAGAAACAGTTTTTAAAAGGAGAATGGTATTTGTATGGTAACTTCTTATACCAGAGCTGCCCATGAGGCCAAGTACCCTCACAACACTTTTTTCTGTGATAGAGAAAAAAAAAGTTTTGTGGAATTTCTCACAAGAGGCTATTTTCACCAAAAATTACTGAACTGGAAATAATATGTATCAAATTTGTCTGGATAGAGGTTTAAAACAAAAGTTTAAATGCAGTCTTTCAATTAAGATTTCATTTTAGATGAAGTCACACAATTTGATTCCAGATAATAAAGCTGTCTTCTTAAAAAATATTTTGATTTTCATCAAGGAGGATTAGCCTTGACATGAGATCATAGTTAAGTAGAAGTTTTATCTTGTTGCTTTTACATCCAATGCCAAGTACTTTTTTTCTCCCCATGACTTTCATGTCCTCCATTTATGTTATGTGCCCCATATAATGACACTTTCAAAATATTGTCCTTTCTGAAAATAGAGAAATCCATTAATTAGAAGGGGAGCATAATTTCTTCCAGAAGCATTTGACAGTGTTTGGAGGAATGTGCAATCCAGCGCTTCTATGATCAATTTACTACATATGTGGCTTTTATCAAAAATACCAACAATAAATAATTTTTTTAAAAAAGTGGAGTTCTTATTAATATTCTCTGTTTGATATTTTCGTAACTAGGGCGGGCGTGGCCAGCATGGGATGCCTGGGAAGCCAGGGCCAATGGTAAGTGTTTTTTTTCAATCACCTTTTTCTCTCTATTTCCACTTGCCTTTTGACCCTACCAAAAAAAAAAAAAAAAAGAAAAAAGAAAAAAAAAAGTAAAAAAAAAGTTGGCAGTTGCTGGTATAAGTGAAGTGCACCTGGAATTAATTATCTGTGAGTGATTCTTAGTTCTACTTATTTTAGTTTTAGTGCTGCCTTCTGAGAAATTACACTCTGTAGTTTACTTCCTCTAAAGGTTTTAATCTGCAGAGGAGTAGACTATAACATCCTCTGGGAAAGGTGATGCTTTGCTGCTCTTATGGAGTCCATACTGTAGGGAGGAAACTGCCTGAAGTATCTGCACTGTAATGTAAAGCAGTTTATAATTGTGTCATCAGCCTGAACCTTTAACTCTTTGTGATGTTCTGCTTGTAAACAAAACAACAAACAAACCAGGATATCCAACAACCAAACACCCCGCAAGCACTGCACCAAAAAACCCACCAAACCTCTAAAGTGCACCACTGTCAGAATTTCATTCTTTATTTGCTAGCGATTAAGACATGGGAAGAAAAATCAGTTACCTCTGTCATCCCAACGAACAGACTATTTTATTAAAAGCTTCACTAAGAAATAATTAGCTGTAATAGAAGCTCAAAAAATGAGCATTAGTTCCTAAAAGCTGCAAAACTCAGTTATTTAGTGTATCATGAAAGAAGGTTAAGTTGCTAGAAGGAACTTTCAAACAATGAAAAGGTTTTTTCAGTATCGAAAACAAATTAGGAAGTTAAAAAAACCTGGGTCCTAAGCTAGGGAATTTTACATGAAGCTTGAAATTTTTCTTTGGCATAAAATACGAGCTCAGCTTCACTGGACAGGATAACTGGTTGGCTAATATTTTTGGAAAATCCCATGAGGGAGGTACTGGTCCTTGATGCATGTGTTTCTCATTGGAGGAAGCGTTAATGAAATGTGTTTTTATTTGGGTCAGTGCAATGGTACACTGTAATTCTGGAATTCTTCCTGCAACAAGAGAGAGAGAGATTTGGCAGATATGTGTTTGTGACCCAATGAACTGGGACACAGGTTTAGAAAAAAACCTGCTTAGTGAGTTGTTATATCAGTGCTGTAGAAATCCAGTGCAAGGTCACGGCAGAAATGCCCGCAATAAGGCTAAGTGGGACAGATTGTTCTGATTAAGTTTGTCAGGAGAGCTTTATTGCATAGGATATTTGTCTCAGTGTGAATCATATTTTACAAAAAGACAGAAAAGCAGGAAAAGATTGAGGAATCATCTGGGAAGAGCGTTGTAGTGAGTGTTTATAACCACGGTGTGCCGCCGTTCCGAGACTTTATAACACGGTAAAAAGTTCTGTTGAAAGTCTTGTTCAGCACAGGAGGCATTATGGAAATGGAAACAATTTACAAATTTACTCTGAAGCCCTTAATTGTCAAGTCTTTCTGTACAGCAGAACAAGGTTTACATCCTACCATGCGGGCATTTTCAAACGTCATACACTTGAAGTTTGCTTTCTAGTGAGTTTGGACAGTGTGCCATCAAATGCAGCCCCAGCTGTTTGCACCTCTGCCCAAACTTCGTGTCCTCACAGTCACAGGAGGTGTGACTCTGTTACTCTGCAGTGCAACAAACCAAGAATTTGGCTCTAAAGCCAGAAGTCGTGTAGCTACATCGATACTGTGGCTGGAGCTGTCAGACCTCCCTTTAGCACTGACCATCTCAAGATGTGTTGTTTGGGGACAGCTGTACTGGTTTGGGGGAGCTGAAGCTGTACCTCTGCCAACAGTTGTGCTTCGTGGTGTGACAGAACTCAGCCTTTCCTCCACTTCCTTTTCTAGGAACAAAGATCCAAGCAGTAAATTGTCTCTGCTCTGTATCTCTGTCTCTCTTGAGAATTTCGTACAAAATCTGTGTTTTACAGCTTGCAGACGAACTTGTCTGTGGATTTGGGAATCTTAATTCCCATAACTGTTAGCTGTGTATGTTGCAATTTGGGCATTAATAGCTGAATCAAGAACTTTTCTTTGCTGAAGTCAGCAAATATGTTATTAAAATACTGCACCACAGTTCCATAAAATGTGTGTGTATCACTTAAAAAAAGATGTTTATAGTTATTTGGTTTTCTAATAAAAGTTTTATGACTAAAAACCACGTGTATTGTCCTAGAACCATATTTACTCA